ATTTCCAGGGGTTTTTTTTGGGCCGGGGGACGAGCAGAGCGGGTCCCATCATGCCACCCTCTCACGCCGGGGTGGCGCGGGGTCCCCGGGGGGTTGACGCTGCGGTTTGAGCCATGCAAAGGCGTCTTGGCCCCCGAGGGACCTTCACCCTTGGCACCCAGCAAACCGGGTATTTTCAGTCCCAGCGGGGTTGAAATATTAACCGCGCGTCGCCGGGGCGAAGCCGGAGCCACCCCGGAGGCCAGGGACGGGCTGGGTTGAAATTTAACTGGGTGCTGTCGAGCTTGGTGGGTGCCAGCCGGCGCGGCTGGGTGCAATCCTGCCCTCCTGCACCCAAACCCCCTGGGGCAAAGGGAGCCCTTGCCTACGGATGGCAGAGCTGGAGGCTGGGGGGTACGGTCCTGGAGGTGCAGGATTAGGCCCTGCTCCTTCCCACAGCAGCCCTGAGCCCCTGCCCCGAAGCGGCTGTGCTTTTGCTGGCTCTACCTATATATTAATGTTTTTTTTCCATTTTAGATGGGTTCCTAAGGAGAAGCCCTGGCAGCTGGGGGGTTTCCAGCCCACCCGCTGCGTGCATGGGGCAGGGTCGCCCTGCCAGACCCTGCCGGTAGGGCAGCACCGGCTCTGGGGCTCTGCACCCTCCGCAGTCCCCCAGCGTCACCCTGCCAGGCTCTGCCTGCACCCCATATGTGCACCCTGCACCCCAGTACCCGCACTGTGCATCCTGTGTGTGCAGCCTGCAACCCGGGGGTGCGCCGTGCACCGTACGTGTGCACCCTGCACTGCGGTGCCCACGCTCTACACGCTGGTTCCTGCGCCCTGCACCCCATGTGTGCGCCCTGCACACCAGTACCCGCACTGTGCACCCTGTGTGTGCAGCCTGCACCCTGCTGCCCACGCCTTCCACCTTGGTGCCTGCACCCTGCAATCTGTGTGTGTCCTTTGCACTGCATGCCTGCATCCCATGTGTGCACCCTGCACCCTGTGTGTGCACCTTGCACCGCGTGCATGCAGCCTGCACCCCGATGCCCGCACCCTACACTGCATCTGTGCACCCTGAACCCCGTGTGTGCACCCTGCACCCCGGTGTGCACTCTGCACCCTGATGCCTGCACCCTACACTGCATCTGTGCACCCTGCACCCATGTGTGTACTCTGCACCCCGATGCCCACACCCTACGCTGCATCTGTGCACCCTGCACCCCATGTGTGCACCCTGCACCCGTGTGTGTACCCTGCACCCCAATGCCCACACCCTGCACTGCATCCGTGCACCCCACGTGTGCACCCCGCGCACGCTGTCCAGCAGACGTTTCCCATCGGAAGCTCACCGCAGCCATCGCAGGTACCCCCGTGGGCTCAGAGGGACGGGAGGAACCCGGGGTGGCTGTCCCCCCCGATCCGCCTGTCCCTTGTACCACGGCGCGACTGCCACCAGCTTCTCCGCCGAAGCAGAGCCAGCCTGGGGGGCCGACCGACCACGCGCCTCCGCCGCCGCCATCTTCTTTAAGCGCTAAAAAACCCAAGGGAGGATAAATAATGGGAATTGAAGCTTTAATTCCTGCGGACGGGGCTCGGCAGGGGGACGAATCTCCCAGGAGGCCGGGGAACGGCAGCGCTTGCTGCCTGCCCTCGGTGATCGGAGCAACGCGTCCCGGGGCCCAGACCCCCCAGGCTCCTGCTCGCGGGCCTTGGGAGGTGTTGGCAGCCACGGCCATCGCCGCCGGCGTCGGCGAGCACAGAGCGAAGAAGGAGGGATGCCCATGGCATCCAGAATCGGAGATTTGGGGGTTCTGCCCCCATTTGAGTCCCCCGTGAGCTGGGCATCGCCTTGCAAACCCCCCGCAAACAGCCTTGCAAACCCAGCCCTGTCCTCATGGCCGGGTCCCGGACGCGGCGGGGGACACGCCATGAGTTTTCCTCTCGAGATCCATTTTTTTTCTTGTTCTCAAAGGTGAGCGTTTGGATTCGTAGAGGGGGAATTGCAAGCATCTCTTAAAAAACAAACCCGGCCTTTTGCAAGCTGCCCCTCGCGCCGGGGCTTCGGGAGATCATTTCTTCCAAGCCTCTGATGCTCGGATCGGGGCTTTGAAACCCACCCTGAGGTTTTCGAGACGTTTTATTCTTTCTTTTCACATCGCAGAGCTGAGAGAGGAGCAGGATAGAGCCACGGGGCGTCGTGCGGATGGAGACCACGTCAGCTCCGGGGGGTTTTGCTGGTACGAGCTCCCCGGCTCCGCAGCATCCGGAGGGATGCGGTCCCTCTCCCTCCGCCATGCCTGAGACCACCACGAGCGGCTTCAAGCTGCAAAAAGAAACGGCCCGGAGGAGCTCGGTCTGCAGCTGGATTTATTTCTTCATTTCAGACGCCATCCATCGTGCCGGGGCCCTGCCCTGCGGATGCTGTTACGCAGTGGCAGCCATTGCTCATCCTTATGGCTGGAGGATTTCTCCTGGGAATAAACCCTCCGGGAGATGGAGCAAGGCCCCAGAGGAAACCGGGGTGGGATTTTGCATCTCTTCTGCTGGTGTTTGCATGGCTCTGGCCGTGCCAGCACCGAGGCCCAGGGCTGCTGTGGCTCTGCCGGTTTCCTGGGTCCCCGCTCTGCAGGCGGCGGGGTGTCTCCGTCCCCACCGGTCACCCTGGGCTAACGCCAGCCCCCCGGTCTGCGTGGGCATCAGAGCTCGCCGAACATGCTGAGGGTGGGTGCATGTGTCCTCGGGTGGGATGGAGGATGCGTGCACCGGGGGACTGAGGACATGTGCATCCCAGGGATGGAGGATACATGCACCAGGGGACCAAGGACACATGCACCCCAGGGACGGGTGATGCATGCACCTGGGGGACCGAGGACACATGCGCCCTGGAGACGGGGATGCATGCACCCAGGGGACTGAGGACATGCACACCCCAGGGATGGAGGATGCATGCACCCGGGGGACCGAGGAAACGTGCACCCTGGGGATGGAGGATGCATGCAACCTGGAGACTGGGGATGCGCGCACTGGGGGACCAAGGACATGTGCACCCCAGGGACTGGTGATGCATGCACCTTGGGGACTGAGGACATGTGCACCCCAGGGATGGAGGATGCATGCACCTGGGGGACTGAGGACATGTGCACCCTGGAGACAGGGGATGCATGTACCCAGGGGACGGAGGACACGTGCACCCCAGGGATGGAGGATGCATGCACTTGAGGACTGAGGACACGTGCACGCTGGAGACTGGGGATGCATGTACTGGGGGACCAAGGACACATGCACCCAGGGATGGAGGATGCATGCACCCGGGGGACCAAGGACATGTGCACTCTGGAGACTGGGGATGCAGGTACTGGGGGACCAAGGACATGTGCACCCAGGGGACGGAGGATGTGTGCACCCAGGGAGCCGAGGATGCATATGCACGGGGCACCAAGGATGCGTGCACCCGTGGGGCCGAGGACACACACAGGCAGGGTGGGAGCCGGAGAAGCCGGTCTGGGCTGCAGGAGAGGGGGCACGGAGCTGGCGTGGGGTGAGAATCAGGGGGAAGGGGGCTGCTGGAGCAGGAGCCAGGGCAGTGCTGGGTGCGGGGGGGGTTCCATGGTGTGCAAGGAGGGAAGGGGTCCTGGGAGCTCTCTGCAGGTCCTCCTCCCTCCCAAAATCAGCCCCGGGGAGGGGGGGGCAGAGCATTGCTGGGCCCCGCTGGAGCCTCGCAGGCCCCCAGGAGCGCGGTGGGAAGAGCCAGGTCAGGCCCCTGCCAGGGCTGGGCTGCCGGGAGCGCTGGCAGGAGGCTGCAGCCACCTCCGAAGCCCAGCAACCCAGCTGGCGGTGCCATGGGAGAGGCTGCTTTGGCAGCGCTTGCTCAGCTTTCCGGGCAGGGCTGGGTGCTTGGCCACAGCTCCCGGCTGCCCAGGGATGAGCCTCTTGGATTTTACATTTCATCCACAGAGTCCATAGCAGCTCCGAAACCCGCAGCCCAAGGCTTCGGCCCTGGCAGCAAACCCGGGGAGGACAGCCAGGGTTAGGGATAACGCCGGGCTGGAGGGAGCAAGTTTAAGTCTCTCGCTGCCCACCCAGGGGCTGGGATTTTTCTCTCCCCTCGACCCCAAATCCATGCAACTCCTTTTTTTGGGATGAATCCGGATGCAAAACATCCCCGTGGGCTTGCTGGCAGAGCAGGGAAAGGCTGGGAGGAGGGATGCAGACAGACAAACCACAGAGCCCCAGCTGAAAATAGTTGAGGGCTGGGGAGAATTTAAGGGGGGAAATACCAAGCGTTTTTTGCCCAAATCCTTACGGCGTTCCGGATTTCTGTTTCTAACGGCTGCTGGGGCCAGGAGAAGGGCCGGGAGCTGCGGGGAAGGTGGCTGCAGGCTGGGGCTGAGCCCAGGCACCACGGGGATGGGCCCCGGGGAGGAGGCGAAGGAGCAGGGAGACGCTGCGTCACCCTGCACCCTAAGGACCCCGGGGCGAGCCAGGGTGCTCAGGTCACTTTGTGCTTTATTTCTCAACATTACAAGGCAGAAGGTGATTTCTCAAGCAGCATTAATTATTATTAGTGCATTCAAACCTCCACGCCAAAACCAACCAAGTGGCCACAACCCGGGACCCACTGGCCACCCCTGGGATGGGATCAGGGTGATGTGGCAGCCCCGGTGCAGCCCCTGCCGTGGCAGGAGGATGGGTGCAGCCCCAAACCATCTCCCAGCACCCTGGGACCTTCCACGGGAGCAAACCGGGACCCTGTTAGCTGCAGAAAGCAGGAGCGATGCTGCGTGCCCCCTCCTCCCAGCCCCGGCTCACCCATCGCTCCCACCCATCCATCCCCCCAAAAATACAAATGAAACCCTAAAGGTGAAAAAAGTCAAACCCTAAGAGGCAAAAATCAAACCCTAAAGGCAAAAAAATCAAACCCTAAAGGCAAAAAATCAAACCCTAAAGGTAAAAATCAAACTCTAAAGGGCAACATGAGCGTGGGGAGGAGGGAAGGCACAGGGCAGGGCTCTGCTCGCTCACAGCCTGGAGCCCTTGGGCAGGGGGGTGTCGGGGGGGAGCCCCTCCAGCCACGCCACCAGGATCCCGTTCAGCGCCGCCGGCCTGGGGGAATGGCAAAGAGCTGGGGTGGGAGCCGGCAGCGGCGCAGCAGCGGCGGCCCCGGGGAGCTGGGGGAGCCAGGCTCCAACGGAGCGAGGCCGTGCACGCCGGCCGCAGTACCTCTCCATCTGCGTCCAGTGCCCGCACTCCTCGATGTGCTCCCGGTGCAGCTGCGGGATCTACGGAGGGATGCGCGAGAGCGGGAAGGGGTTGGTTCGTACCGGGATCCGGGAGGTTTGGCATCAGCGGAGCCCACCCTGGGCTGCCCCTGATCCCCAGCTTTTCCTTTTGGCAAGAGCAAATCCCCCCCTGCCCGCTGCAGGTGGCAAATGCCCCCCTCTCCCCGTATCAGCATGTCCCCCCCTTCTCAAGTGATGTCCCCAGATCTGGGCCAAATCCAGCCCGTTTTGGCAGGGTGGACCTGCCCCGGGGCTCTCCCGTGGTGGGATCTTATGGAAGCGGGATGGCTTCGGCACACGCCGGTCCCGGGAAGGGCTGGGGTGGGATGGGACCACGCTGGCTCACCCACTCCTCCATGCCCTTGCTCATGCTGGGATGCAGCACCACGTCCTTCCCGGCGGTGACCATCAGCGCTGGCATCATGATCTGTAAGGGGACACGAGTGACAAGGTGGGGAAGGTGCTGGGTCTGCCAACACTCCCCACGGGACAGAATCAGGCCCCACCTTCCTATCCTTGGCAGAGAGCGCCCAGCGCCAGTTGGGTCGCATGTTGCGGTACCAGTTCAAAGGGCCACTGGGAGAGAGGGGAATGGGGTGGAGAGACTGGAACTCAGCTCCTGCCGACACCGCCGCGGGGACCATCCCACCACCCACGGCACGGGAAGAGCCTGCAAGGGGAAAGCAGCCTCCCCCCGCCAGCCTCACCCCTTCTTGGGGTGATAAAGCAAGGCCTCGGGGGGTTTGGGGTCCCCCTTCTGCAGGGGGGGGTACCCCACCACCCCCCAGGCTCCTGCCCCTACCTGAAGCCGGATTTCTGGAAGCGCTGGATGTAGTACTGCAGCTCGGGGCCGTGCAGGATCTGGCTGGCGGGAGGCTTTTCGGGGAAGCCCACCAGCAGCCCCCCTGCAACAAGAGGCACAGGACGGCTGCCGCATCCCACCCGTGACACCCTCCCATGGCATCCCTCCCCCCCGGCGAGGTCTCTCCCTTTACCTCGCTCCCGGACCCCGTGGAAGTTGAGCGCGAAGGGCAGGCGGTCCTGCGGAGAGAGGGGACGGAGGGCAGGCAGGGAGCGGCACCGCGCCCGGGGGTATCCCCATCCCCGGGGGGCTCCCCGTGGCTGCCAGGCAGACTTGGGGCTCCACGTCCCTCCTCGCTGGGAGCCGGCACCGAGCATCGCTGCATCCCTCAGGATGCAGGAACCAACCACGCAGCCCTGGGCCGCGGAGCTGGGAGCAGGTACCAAGCATCGCTGCATCCCGAGGGATACAGGAACTGACCATGCAACCCTGGGACATGGAGCCGGGAGCCAACACTGAGCATTGCTGCATCCCGAGGGATGCAGGAACTGACCGTGCAACCCTGGGACGTGGAGCCGGGAGCCAAGACCAAGCATCGCTGCATCTCGAAGGATGCAGGAACTGACTGCAACCCTGGGACATGGAGCTGGGAGCTGACACCAAGCATCACTGCATCCCAAGGGATGCAGGAACCGACCGTGCAGCCCTGGGCCGTGGATCTGGGAGCCAGCACTGGACATCACTGCATCCTGAGGGATGCAGGAACCGACCACGCAGCCCTGGGACACGGAGCCAGGAGCCAACACCGAGCATCGCTGCATCCCGAGGGATGCAGGAACTGAACGTGCAGCCCCAGGCCACGGAGCTGGGAGCAGCCAGCGTGGTGTTGCCGGCAGAAGGATGCCGCCGGCGAGGCACGGCCTCCCGCATGCTCCCGGGGCGTTGTTATTTTAAACCACGAAGGTTTTTCACCCTGAAGCGAGATGTTAACATTTGCAGGGGTTAAGGAAGCGAGCAGCACCGACACTGCGAGGGCAGAGGGAGAGCAGGAGCCTCTGCCAGGCCACGCCGAGACAGGAACCCCGCAAATCTGCTGCTCCCCGGGCTGGACTGTCTCCCCCCAGGCAGCACAGCTTTCCAGAGGTCTTCTCAACCCCTACTCAGGGTCAGCTTTGAGTCCTAAAGAGGTGCGGGCCCTGTGCCACTGCTCACAAGGATGCGTTCACTCTGGTCCCTACTGATGGCTGATGGAATGCAGACTTCGCTGCAGACAGGCAGCAAAAGGACAGCAGACGTGGCGTGGGATGTGCCTGAGGGTCACTGCGGGCCACCGCAAAGCCATCCCTGAGGCTTCTGGCTCCTGGCATGGGCAAGGTGGAAGGGGAGAGGGTGCCACAGGCAGAGCCCCAACGAGGCTGGCAGGGCTTGGAGAGGACCTCAGGCTGGGCTGGCCACGGGCAGGCTGCGAAGCCCCTCCGCTCCCACCCCAGGCCCACCCTCAGCCCCACACCTACCTCCCGGCGCGTGGAGCGGATCAGGACCTTCAGGGTCCGGCCGATGTCCTTCTCGAGCTCCGCTTCCGCGATGCCCTGCACGGCGGGGGAGGAAGCATGGCGGATGATGCCAACCCTCCCCAGGGACCCAACCCACCCCGGGGCCGGATCCTGCCACCCATCAGGGCTCGGGTGGAGGCTGGGGATGGTTTTTTGCAGAGTTCAGCATGGAAACAAAGTCTGGCAGGGGGACCAAACGCCATCGGGTGACATTTGGGGTGGCAGCGAAAGCCCCACGGCGTGGCACCCCGGCTACGGGGCAGGCGATGCCCAGCCATGAGCTGGGGATCCCGACATGGGCACGTCCCCATCCTCAGGGGGGGTTTAAGCCCCAAAAGAGGGGTGAAGGATAAAAATTGTGGTCCCAGACTCACCGGCTCCTGGAAGTAGAACTGGTAGTCAAAGGTGGGATAGGTTTTCATCTTCTCCACGATGTCCACAGTGGGGTCGGCGGGTCGGTACGGGGTGTTCAGCGAGGCCACGGCTCTGGGACGCGATGGGGAGGGCAGAGTCAGCATCGCAGCCGGCTTTGGGGCGCCCAGCGTGAGCCGGGGCTTTGCCGCAGGGTGGGGGATGGAGAGGGCAGGATCCAGGGTGACTGGAGGGACCTGGGGGGGGTAGGACCGGTCCCCAAGGAGCCCCCCGCCTGGCATGGACCCACCTCACCCGCTCGGGGTAGAAGAGAGCCATGTTCCAGACCACGGCACCGCCCCAGTCGTGGCCGACCAGCACGGTCTGCGGGATGCCCTGCAGGGAGGGGGGCCGTCAGCATGCCCCCGCAGCCGCACCCCGAAATCCTCCCCAAAAGCAGCGCCCAAGAGTGATCAGCAGGGGAGAGAGGAGATTTGCCTTCCTCCAAAGCAGCAGAGATCAGCAAACAGCAATATTTTCCTTTTTTTTTCCCTCCTTTTTCGTGTTTTTTTTCCTTTTTTCCCCCCAAGGAACAAGCGTTACCTGATCACCCAGAGCTATTTGCTCTGATTTAATTAAATATTGCAAGTACCTGGGCCCTCCAGAGGAAAGGGGTTCGATATTATCCACCAAAACCACGTCTGGAGGCTGCTCGTCCCCTGGGGTCCCCCGCGCCGCTGCCATCGCCCGGGGTGACAGCACGGGGAACGCGCAGCTGAATAAATCCCCAACCCCTCTGCCAAGGGGCTCGCAGCATCCCCGGGGCCGGCCAGATCCCCCCCTCCTCCATTCCTTTGTCCTGACCCCTCTGGGCACCTACAAATAAATCCAATTAAAACCCAGGCTCCTGATCAACGTAGCAGGCGGTTCATAATTAGCTGATATTTAGAAGCGTAATTAAAATTCCCTCCCGGCGGACGCAGCTTGGGGCCGGCGAGCCCTGCTCGCTGCTGTCCGACGGCGTGAAACCCGGCGTCTGAGACATCCCCCGAGGGGGGCAGAGGGTTTGGGGGGGCTCCCAGCAGCTCCCACCTCCGATGTGGGGCTGAGTGGGTCCCCCCGGTGCGGATGGGTTTCATCCCACCGTCCCTGGCCATCGCCCTGCTGGCTCCTGGCCCGCTCTGCATCTTCTGCATCCCAGAAATGGGCTCAAACACCACACGAAGCTTCGTGAAGTCATTTCTCTTCCCCAAATTCCCCCAAAGGGGAGGGAGAAGGGGCCCCCCCGGGGCGGAGAGGAGCAGGATGGGCCCCGACGGTAGCGGAGGAGCAGGGAAAACCAAAGTCCCATCCATACGGGATGCCACGACCTCGCGTCTCCTCTACACCCCAAAGCAAAGCTGGCTGCGCATCAACGGGCGCCTTTCTATCCGTTTTCCTTGTCATTTTTAATCCAGCGTGAAGGCAATTCCCCAGCAAAAAAAAAAAAAAAAAATCAGGGGGATTTATCCTCGCCTGCTCAGCACCAAACCGAAGCCGCAGCCCCCGTGACGCTCGGCTTGGTCTCCTCCCGAAAACCCATCCCTGCTCCGATGCCAGCACAAAACCACCGCTGCTCCTCACACAAGGAGCCCTTGCAAAACCTCAAGGGCTTTTTTTTTTTTTCCCCCTCGTTTCTTATTTTTTTTCTTTTAGCACTCTGCTTTTTGAAGGACTCATTCCCTTGGAAGCCATTTCGCAAGGAAAAAGCCCTGGAGATGTTGGCATTTGCGGGCTCTGCCTTCTTCCCCTCCACTTCATCTCTTTTAAAAGGCGTAGAAATCACCTTCATCCCCTCGCTGGGATGGGAATTAAACCCCAAACCCAAGCGGATCAGATGCTGAGACGACCTCGGATTCGAGCCGTGCCAAGGGGCAGCGTTGCTCCCCCGGCCACCCCAGCCACTTGGGAGCTGCTACGGTCGGGGTTTAAGGGGGATGGACGTGATGCAGCCCAGCATCCTTCCCCACTGGTATCTCACTGCCTTACCAAAACCCCGCCGAGCCACGGATGCCACCAGCCCATCTCCCCACCTTCAGCAAGGACACAAGGTCCAGAAGGTGCCGCAGAGCTGGAGACGCTCCCGTGGCTGGGTTCTCCCCTCCAGCAATGGGTTATATGAACATCTTCATCCCTAAAATCCCATCTGTGGGGAATACAAAGATGGGGCTTGTGCCATCCCAAGGGTTTTGGACCAAAGCTCCCGGGGAGCTGAGCTGTCCCTGCCTGGGAAGGAAGAGGCGAAGGGCAGCCGGGGGGGACGCGCGCCCAAACCTTGCCGAGGAGGGACCCGTCGCGGGGGGCTCCTCACCAGTTTGTCCAGGAAAACCGCCAGGTCCTGGGGAAGGGAGGAGAGAAGGGATCAGATCCTGCCCGGGGCCATGCCCTACCAGCCCACAGCACCCTCCGTGCCGCACTCATCCTGCCCGCGTCCGTACCCTGCAGCTCCTCACCTTGCATATCTGCTCCTGGGAATATTCTTTTATGTCTGCACGAAAGACATAATCGCCATCATTTTAACATCCACATGTTTCTAAGGAGGTATTTTACATCCATCTGAGGCGCCGGGGCAGCGGGAGGAGCAGAACACCTTCCACCCCCCTGGGAGAAGACTCCTCCACCCATCTCCTCCTCGATCTTGACCTTGGAGTCGGCAGCTCCAGCCCCGTACGCCCCCGTCCCCCCAGCAAGCCCAGCTCACCCGGCGGGGCCGTGGACTCCCCGTAGCCCTTCATCTCCAGAGCGATCACCCTGAAGCCGGCATCAGCCAAAGCTGGGATCTAGGAGGGAAAGCAGCAGCCTCTGAAGGACCCAGAGACCCCTGGACCCCACCTCGCCAGCACTCATCCTGCATCTGCCCACCCAAGCACGTGCTGGCCGTGCCCGGAGACGTCCCCAGGAGGGCAGAGGTGGGCTGGTGAGGCTGGAGGGTGAGGAACACTCCTGGGCTGTTGTCCCATGTCCCTCAAGGCTCAAGGCAGGGTGGTGGGACAGCCCTGGGACCCCCCAGGAGCGGTGACCCCCCTTCACCGCGCTCCAGCATCCCACCGCCAGCCCCCACGGTCCACCCTCCTCCCGGTCTCCTCCATCACCTGGTAGCGCCAGGAGAGCCAGGACTCGGGGAAGCCGTGGCAGAGGCAGACGACGGGGCCGTGCCCCATTTCCACGAAGTGCAGCTGGACGCCGGGCTGGAAGGGACAGAGAGCCCTCGCCGGCTGCGGGTGGCACAGCTTCATCCCCCCAACCCTCCACCCGCTGTTGGCCACCAGGTGTGGGAGCCGGCCACCAAAGCATGGGAGCCCACCACAAGCACATTTTGGCCCCTGGGGTGGATGGAGAAGACCTCAATGATGGGGTAGCTCAGCATCCCCAACCCAGAGCAGCCCACGCAGGAGGGTGGACAACCCAACAAGCCACCCCACGGCTGGCACATCCTTCCACGGGGCTCAGCACCCTCCCCAGGACGCCCGGTCCCCGCCAAGCCCTGCCAAGCCCGGGGACAGCTTGTCGCTGAGGCTGTCCCCTCCGTCCTACCCGGATGGGCACGTATCCGTGGGTCACGTCGGATGGATCACACGCAGTCGGCAGCAGCTCTTCTTGGGTGAGAAGCTGCAGGGTGAGGAGCACAGGGTGGGGTCCTGAGCAAGGCTGGAGCTCCATGGGACACCCCCACCACCCTGCTGCTGGTGGGACATCCATGCGTTCGAGATGGACACGGCTCAGCGGCTCCAGGGGATGAGGTTATCGGGGGGTGGGCAGGGTTTGCAGGACATCACAGCCCCCATCCTATTCGTTTCCAAAGCCGCCCGCAAGTCCTGCACCACCACCGCAGCACGGCAAGACCCAGAAGCCCAAGCCCATCCCTCCTGGCTCTGCAGAACCATTCCAGGATCCCCAGGAGAGCAGGGGACAGAGAGGACCCAGACCACCACTACGTGCCTGGACACCCGAGAGCTCCTCCAGCTCCTTCAGGACGGTTTCGGTGTCCCTGACGAGGACAGTGGCCATGCCCATCTCCCGGGCCGGCTTCAAGTTCTCCCCGATGTCGTCCAGGAGGATGACCTGGAGATACACCAGCTCAGCACCCCAGGGAAGGGCGGCCACTGGGTTTGGCCAAGGACTTTGGGTGCTTGGAGGGACCCCCCCGTGCCCCGTTTTTAGGGTGACGGCCATACCTCCTGTGGCTTCACCTGCAGCGCATCCAGGGCGTAAGCATAGATCTCGGGATCCGGCTTCTGCGTCCCGAGCCGGCAGGACTCGATCACCAGGTCAAAGTGCCGGCGCAGCAGGTTCATCAGCGTGGCCGTGAAGAGCCGCCCGGCGCTGTCGTCCACCCAGTTGTTGGTGAGGACGCAGGTCTTAAATCCTAGGGAAGGGCAGAGCAGGGAGCAATGGTTTTCCCGCTCCAGCTCTCCCGCACGCCTTTGATTTCATCTCCCCTCCCCAGCCACGTTTCTCAGACCTTCCCAGCCTAAAATCTCCCATTTGCAAGGCTCTGTCTGGACCAGGACACCCCAGCAGGAGATAAAGGCTGCTCAGCGGGAGCTTATGCCCAGTTTGTACTTCCAGGAAAGCAAGGCTCAACCCTCCCAACGCAGGTGGGACATGAGCCGGGGCTCGGGCACACCGAGATGCTGAGGATGGAGCCGATGGACCGGCCACGGAAGGGCTACCGCGTCCTGCTGATTGCTGGCTGGGTGAGAACATCGGATTAATTTGGTAGCAGGGCTGAGAATATCTAATGAGAGGATGCTGAGAGGTGATGTCAGGAGAGCGCCTGGATGATGATGAGGGAGCAAGCAGGGACCCTGTGGTGGGACCGACCAGGACCCCGTGGTGGGACCGACCAGGGACCCCCGTGGTGGGACCGACCAGGGACCCCGTGGTGGGACCGACCAGGGACCCCGGGGGGGGGACGAGCCGGGC